GTTGTAGCACAATTTAGGTGTCTCTGAGGAACCATCAATGTTTTTTTCTCATGAAGTCCTCTTACCTTCTTGTATCATCTTGGTTGAAGCAGAGCTCCCAGTGTGACGCTGCTCCAGAATCTAGGTCTTCACCTCCTGCTCCACCTCTGGCCACTTTGGAGGTTTCCTTCACATTACCTTCTTCTGTCTTGGAATTTGAAGAAGCTTTTCTTTTTGTTGTCTCCACCTGCTGATACTCTCTGTTGGAGGAGGTCCAGAGTTTCTCTCTGCAGCTCTGTCGCCAGGCTTTTTAGCATATTTAATAACTTTGAGTTTAAAGCTTACAGTGTATGAAAACCATTTCAACATTTTCCAAGGGATTTTCCAATAATTTCTCCTGTCTAAAGTGTACAAAGAGAAATGTCACACTGTTCACCTTATGGTAATAAAGCCAACATCACCTATCTTATCAAGTGGGTAACAATCAGCATCACCTATATTATCAAGTGGATAACAATCGGCATCATCTCTCTTACTCTGTGGATAACAGTATGTTGCTCTTCATTTTGTTGAATCATAGGCTAAAACTGCTTTTGTTGTAAGTTCATTGTGAGTTCAATAAAACTGATTATCGTATTCCAGGGTATTATTTTGCATATGGATATTTTTATTGCTTTCCAGAGTTACACTTTTAATGCAAAAGCATAAATAAAAGAATTAAAAACACTTATATAGATGTGGAATTAGTACTACCCATGTATAATGTGCATCCTTATTTTTCCCTAAAAAATTCAGGCAGAAAAGTGTGCACAGAAAAGTGTGCATTATACATGGCAAAATATGGTATTTCTTTCCCTTGCTTTTATCCAATCCATTTTCCACTAAGCAACCAGTAATCTTTCTAAAAGATCTGATCTTAAATTAATGTAATCTTTTCATTAACTGAATCCCATCATTCCTTCCTACAAACTTTGCAATGGCAGCCCACTGCATTTAGGATTTAAAAAAAATAAAATTTCCTTAACATAGTCTGTATAATACTGGGCCCCATGAGATGTGATCTTTGCCTATCTCACCAACCTCATCTCCTACTCCTTTCACTCTTGACCACTAAAGACCATCTATAGTGGTTTCTTAATTCCTCAAACATGAACATACTAAGATTTCTCCTATATGAGGACCTTTACAAATGCTATTCTCTCAGTTTATAAAATTTTCCTTCCCCTCTAAGCTGGATAACTCCTAACCAACACTCAGTCTTAGCTGAAATATTACTTCTTTAGAGAGGCTTTACCTGACACCCATTCCTCATCTTAATCAGGTCTCTGTGTTACACTCTCATAATACCAGCCCATCAATTTGTTTAGTTATTTAATATTTCTCTCTCCACTTTTCTGTAAGTTCTTTGTAAAAATAAGCTGTGTTTTATTCATCAATGAATTTCTTGAACTAGCACAGTACCTGGCATATAATACATATTCAATAAATGGTTAATGTATAAATGAATATGAGGGGATTTTTGACAAGAATAGATAAGAAATTGTGATGGGGACTTCCGGCCAAGATGGAGGCATAGGTGGATGTACTGTACCTCCTCACACAACCAAGATAGGGACAACAACAATTTAGAAACGGAATAACAACCAGAACTGACAGAAAATTGATCTGAATGGATGTTGGACAACCAAGTAGTTGAAATAGACCCATTCATCCAGACTGGTAGGAGGGATGGAGTTGGGCAGCTGGGTATGGGTCGCGGCACGGAGAGCAGAGAGCATTGGGACTGGGCATATAAGGCATCCAGGGGCGCATAAGGCATCTGGGGCGTGCAAGACCTCAGTGAGTGGATCCTGAGCACGCAAGCGGCAACTGGCAGACCCCAGCCGAGGGGTGGCAACCGGTAGACCCAGTAAGGTGGTGATTGTGAAGCAAGGCACTGCGTGCAACCCAGGATCCCAGTGTTGGGAAATAGAGCCTTGGGACACTGATTGAGGACACCTGTGGGAGTTGAGGTGCACAGAGAGACACCCAGCCTCACAGGAGAGGTCCTTGGAGGGTCCCACAGCGTGCACAAGCCCACCCACACAGGAATTGGCACCAGAGGGGCCCAGTTTGCTCAGGGGAAGCAGCAGAAGGGACTGAGGTCCCACAGAGAATGGAGCAACTGACATTGTTCCCTCTCAACCCTGCCCCCACATACAATGTCACAACCAGCAACTGAGGTACTCAGCCCTGGTGAACACCTAAGTCTCCGCCCATCACCGTAACAGGCAAGATGAGAAAAAAAAAAACAAACACACACACACAAAAACAAAACAAAACAAAAAACCCAGATGTGGCTCAAACAGAAGACCAAATGAAAGCCCCAGAATCCATCCTTTTAAGTGACTGAGAGATAGTCAACCTATCAGATGCACAGTTCAAAACACTGGTGATCAGGAAGCTCACAGAATTGGTTGATTTGGGGCACAAATTAGATGAAAAAATGAAGGCTATGATAAGTGAAATGAAGAAAAATACACAGGGAACCAATAGTGATGGAAAGAAAACTGGGTCTCACATCAATGGAGTAGACCAGAAGGAAGAAAGAAACAACCACACAGAAAAGAATGAACAAATAAGAATTCAAAAAAATGAGGAGAGACTTAGGAACCTCCAGGACATCTTTAAACGTTCCAACATCCGAATTATAGGGGTACCAGAAGGAGAAGATGAAGAGCAACAAGTGGAAAAGTTATTCAAACAAATAATAAAGGAGAACTTCCCCATTCTGGCAAAGGAAATTGACTTCCAGGAAGTCCAGGAAGCTCAGAGAGTCCCAAAGAAGTTGGACCCAAGAAGGAACACACCAAGGCACATCAGAATTACATTACCCAAAGTAAAAATGAAGGAGAGAATCCTACAAGCAGCAAGAGATAAGGAGACAGTAACCTACAAAGGAGTTCCCATCAGACTGTCAGCTGATTTCTCCAAAGAGACCTTACAGGCAAGAAGGGGCTGGAAAGAAGTATTCCAAGTCATGAAAGTCAAGGACCTACATGCCAGATTGCTCTATCCAGCAAAGCTCTCATTTAGAATGGAAGGGCAGATAAAGTGCTTCTCAGATAAAGTCAAGTAAAAGGAGTTCACCAAGCCCTTATTTTATGAAATGTTAAAGGGACTTATCTAAGAAAAAGAAGATAAAAAAACTTGTATAGTAAAATGACAGCAAACTCACAATTATTAACAAGCACACCTAAAACAAAACCAAAAGAAACTAAGCAAACAACTAGAACAGAAACAGAACCACAGAAATGGAGATTACATGGAGGGTTAGCAACAGGGGAGTGGGAGGAGAGAGAGGGAAAAGGTATGGAGATTAAGTAGCATAGATGGTAGGTAGAAAATAGACAGGGGGAGGGCAAGAATCGTATGGGAAATGTAGAGCTAAAGAACTTATGACACATGGACATGAACTAAAGGGGGAGAATGTGGGTGGGAGAGAGTGTGCAGGGTGGAGGGGAGTGAAGGGGGGAAATGGGACAACTGTAATAGCATAATCAATAAAATATATTAAAAATATATTGGGAAAAATTATGATGAGAGATTTTAGAATATTTTATTCATTGCTTCCACTATAAAACACACATTTTAAAGAAAAAACCTGTTTTTAGTCATAACTATTTCAGCTGAAAGTAATGATTAACCAATTAAAACAGTTTCAATAAAAAAAATTTATTGGTTCATGTAACTGAAAGTCTATGGATAATATTGAACATATATGGAGCTAGGAGTTTAAGTAATGTCATTCATGTTGGTTCCTCTTTTCCGTACTCACATGTGGAAAGAGAAATGGCCCTAGCACACCCAGGCTCACAGGCTTAATAAAACTTAATTTTGAAAGATGAGAACTTCCTGATAGCTCCAATAAAAGTTCTGGAAATGGCCTAGATTGGTTCCTATGTATATTACTGAACCAGGAGAATATAAATTCTCATTAGTCATCTGAACCAAATACACTGAATGGAGCAGAGGGGTTTCTCCAAAGAAAAATCAGGAAGCTATTATCTCACAAAAGGGATGGATACTGGGGAGGCCAAAACAAAAGATATCTAAAACAAAACTAACTGTACAAAAAAATGTGAAGAGCTATACAGATTAAAAATAAAAAATGCATATAAAATATTTGCCCTTGAGAAAAATATTGAAGAAAAGGAAGTTTCTCTACTTAAAAAAACAATGACATATACGCCCTTTCCTGTGCCCTTTTAAGGTTGACGCAGTGCCTTAGGAGGCTAACACAGAAGGGTAAAGTAAGTCTCCATAAAACCCAGAGACGAGATTGTAAAACTCCTCTTTGGATCCTGTCTGGAGTCACAGCTGAAAAGAAAAACAACAACAAAACGAAACAATGAGATATAGGCTGCAGAAAAGCACATGATAATTTGAACCATGAGATAGTGGAATAATAACAATAATAACATGAATATCCCAACATAAATGTTATTAAATTTATAGATGAACTAATCCTGTAACTAATTTATATACACAATTAATACAAGAATGGTTCTTGTATCAGTGTACAGACTACTTCAAGCACCTTTAGATTGTTTCATTCTTACGGAATTGAAATCATGTCTTACATAATTGGTATTATTATAAATTGGCCTTATGCTGGCCGGGTAGCTGACCTTCAGTTGGTTAGATCATCATCCTGATTTGTAGGGTTGTGGGTTTGATCCCCAGTCAGGGAACATACAAGAAATTGATATTTCTTTCAAACTATTCAATTAAAAAACAACAACAAAACAAAACATCATGTGCTGCCCTGGCTGGTGTAGCTCAGTGGCTTGAGTGCCAACCTGCAAACCAAAGGGTGAACAGTTCAATTCCCAGTCAGGGCACATGCCTGGGTTGTGGACCAAGTCCCCAGTAGGGGGTGCACAAGAGGCAATCACACATTGATGTTTCTCTCGCTCCCTGCTCCTCAGCCTAAAAATAAATAAAATCTTTAAAGAAAAGAAAATTATGTGCATTCTTGTGTGTTCTTTGGCAGCACATACACTAAAATTGGACCAATATAGAGAAGATTAGCATGGCCCTATGCAAGGATGACATGCAAATTTGTAAAGCATTCTATATTTTTTGGAAAAAAAAGAAAAAAGAAAAAAATGGTCTCATCTAGTTATCATGTAGGTTCCTAAAGTCCCTTTAGTTTGAATAATTAAAGGGTTCACTCTGGCCCTGGCTGGTGTGGCTCAGGGGACTGTGTGCTGGCCTGTGGACCTAAAGGTTGCTGGTTCGATTCCTAATCAGGGCACACTTGGGTTGTGGGCTAGGTCCCTGGTTGGGGGCCTGTGAGAGGCAGCCAACTGATGTTTGTCTCTCACATTGATGTTTCTCTCCCTCCCTCCCCCTCTCTCTGAAAATAAATAAAATCTTTAAAAAAACCCCACTCTGATTTTGAGTACTAATTATTAGTTGCTGTCTCTGGTCTCCTGACTTATTTTTCCAGCTACCAGCAGGGACCTGAGACAATCAGAAACAAGATTTGTTGATTTTACAGATGATGTCTCAGCTCCACCTTGTGGTGGTGATTGGATTTAAGTTTGCTTCCCTTCAGAAGCAAGATCTGCTGGTTAAAAAACAATGAGGCACAAAGAACTTAATGAGCATGAACGAGAGTAATAAATGGACTTCTGGCTGCTTCCCTATATCTACTTTATTCCAAACAATGATGAAATTGAAAATTATATAAATGGAAGTCTTAGTATCTTTTTTCCTGCCCCCAGGATACACTCCCTGGATTACATAAGTTCCACCTGGAAGACCTTTTACCTAAAATCTTCAGACATATGCCCCCAAAGATACATACAATAATATTCACGGAGACAACTACTTTTATAATGAAAAAAATCGAAGCAATCTAAATGTCCATTTGTCACAGGTGGGCACAGGTAACCAGGTTCTTGGTGATCAGTACAAAGAATTGAACCAAACATCCAGAGTTTATAGCAGAGAAAATGGGAGCAGGCCAACTCCAAGCAGAGACTGACCTCATGGGCTGGAGGGACTCTATTCTTATAGGGCGGATCCTTCCTGGCTAGGTTTGGTGGGCTTTTACTGAGCATGTACAAGTAGATGTATTACTTTAAAGCTACTGCATATGTGGTCTCCCATGACTTTCCCTGATTGGCCACCAGGGAAAGGGTCCCACAATGCTACTGAATTGATCCCTGTTTCTCCTGGGGTTCCCCTGTACTAGGTTCACCTTTCCCTTTGCCAGAGAATTATAGCTCTCTATGTTAGGGATTGGTGAAAAAGGAAAGGAATTATTTACTCAAGTTATACAGACTTAAGAGTAATGACTTAATGTCTTCATCAAAATCCCAAAGTGTCTTAAAACACCCACAAACACACACAGTCCTTCCTTCTCCCCTTTGCCCAGTCTGGGGTACCGTATCTCAGGAAAAGAAATAGAAGTCCATGGCTCAGGCAGCCTCTGGTTCTTCCCAGTAATCCGTGCTCAGCTGGGAGGCCTCTCTTGGTTCCCAGCATCATCAGCTGTGTTGCCAGGATCTCCAGCTAAAGCTGCATGGTAATTCTCTGCTAAAGAAGCATGGTGGTTCTTTTCATGGCTGCGGGGTGGTGGGGGGGTCCCCACCCTGCCAAAAGCACTTGGTTCTCCTCACTGCTACAGCTGCAGGGTCCTCTCTTCAATGGCTGCCAAATCTGGATTTAAATCCCTGGGCCAATCTTCCTCTGCAGCCCCATTTTGGACTCCTCCCACAATCGGCTACACTTGCCAGCACTCCCATATCCTTCCAGCTTTACTGGGCTGCCATAGTGGGTCTGGGCAGGGGTGGCCCCATGTTGTGGAGCCCATTATCTCCAAGCTCTCATGCAGGCACTGTAACTAGGGGGAGTTGCCTCCCAGTTACATCTTGGGGGAAAGTTCCTTCCATCCTTCTGGCTCGGAGCATGGTCACAGCTATTTAGCATATCCATGCAACCAGTTAAAGGTTATAGATGTGTTAAATGACCACACCAGAGGTTAGCTGCAAAGCTGTTGCTATGCAAAACAGCTCTCAATGGCCCTGCTCCATGTGTCCCTTCCCCCAACTCACACCTGTGGTGGAAGGTGAGGACATTCTATATATCTTTCTAATATTTCATGGACACCTTGAATTCTGGACCCCATTCCAAATCCTTCTTTTGGGGGCCCCCTGGCTGCACCCTCCTACAAATTGACAGGTAAATGGGTAAAGTTTTTAATATTCACTAAATGGAATATATGTAACTCAATGGAGTACTTTAGAGCAGGTTAAAATAACTTGATTAGAGCTACCCATATCACAATGGATTGTGGCTGATGCCGGCTAGCAGTATCCATCCCTGAAGATGCTCATCAAAACATAAGAAAAACATACACAGAGACAACCAGGTCCTGTGGGGAAATAGGGACAGAACGGCCACTCTCTCTAGTGGAGAGTGCCCTGTTTCCCTTCCCAAGCAGATTTTTACTGAGAACACAGATTTAGTTTGTGGATTCACAGTCTGGCAGAAAAGATCAAAAGAAATAGGTGACTTTCAAAGGTGAAGACAGAACCCCCGCTGTGATTCTGGGCAGAGTTTGGGGTTTTATCACTGCAGGACCTAAAAGGCTAGTCTCGTTTCCTGCTGGTGCCTTCATATTCTAATTTAATAACATCCTCCAGCAAACAGATCTCACAGGATCTTGCATATTCATGTCCCAGGCCTGATTACCCTGGTGGTCTGCTGACTCTGGTCTGGGCTGCATTGCCCCTGTTATTTCCGCAGGCCTGAGTCAACAGAGGAGACAAAGGCAGCCAGGAGACTTGGCTTTCTCACTTCTAAGAACGAGGACTCAGGCTTTGACAAAGCCGAGGGGTCAGGGGTTGATGTCTATCACCCCTTCATTTCCACAGCCCCGAGTCTCTTCCTAGAGGCCCCCTCGTGATCATGCCTGTCTTAGGCGATTCCCTCTGTGGGAAATCTTACCCGTCATTGGCTAGCTGATCAAGCTTAGGAGGGCAGGCACAGAACAGGCAGCGTTCATGCCAGGGAAATAAATTTTGTCTCCTTAGTGGCTCGCAGTCTGGAAGTCTCTCATTCAGCCTAAGTCACGGGGGGTTACAGCTTCCTGAGACCAGGCAGGGCAGTCCCCAACAATGGATAAATCTCAGAAACATTGTTAAGGAACAAGGAAGTTGTAGCATGATATGTATGTATGAGCCCTTCAAACTATGCTAAGCAATCCTATGTATTATTTATGGACACAAACATACAAAATAGTATGTACACATGCATGGCAAACAAAAACATCGAAGGCAGACCCTGACTGGTGTGGCTTAGTTGGTTTGGTGCTGTCCTGCAAAGCAAGGGGTAGCTGGTTCAGTTCCTGGTCAGGGAACATACCTTGCAGGTTCAATTCCTGGTTGAGGTGTGTGCAGGAGACAGCAGCTGATCAGTTTTTCTCTCAGACATTGATGTTTCTTTTCTCCCTCTCTCCCTTTCTTTTCCTCTCTCTAAAAATAAATAAATAAATAAAATATTTAAGAACAAAACAGAACAAAATGACCCCCACCAAAGTCAGAATAGTGGTTACTCTGGAAGGAATTGGGATTGAGAAGGCATATGGAGCAAATGTGGTAAAATGCTAAGATTTGACAAAGCTTAGCGGTGGGTACTGTGTTAGATATATAATGTTCTGAATACCTTTCTGTTTAAATTATTTTGTAATATTAAAATATTTAGTAAAACAGGTTAGAAAAAAGTTACCCCAAAGAAGATATAGGAGGAAAACTAGAAGGAAAAAGCCCACGGGGTGGGTGGGAGTGGTGGGGGGAAAATGGAGACAACTGTACTTGAACAGCTATAAAATAAAACGAAAAGAAAAAGCCCACATTATTTTATATCTACTTTGCACTAGAGCAAACCCAGTAGGAAATGGAGTGGTATAGTATTATCTGCAGGAACACCAAAAGGACCAAAAATTATGATAGGCAGCCCCCCTGACTGGTGTGACTCAGTGGGCTGGACTTTGGCCTGCACATTGCTTTATCTCTCCCTCTCTCTCCTTCCCTTCCCCTCTCTCTCAAAATAAATAAATAAAAGTAATTATGATAGGCAGAGGATTGGAATGAATGAACCAAGGGCTAAAATATTCAAAACAATAAGGGGGAGTGAACTTGGGGGCATATTGATAATGTTACAGGGTGCAGCCAAGAGGGGGGACCCCAAATAGGCATTTGAAATGGGGTCCAGAACTCAAGGTGTCCAGGAGATTTTAAAGTGTCTTCACCCCTTCCCCCACAGGTGTGAGTTGGGGGAAGGGGCACACAGAGCAAGAACATGCAGGGCAGTTTTGCAGCTAATCCATGGCATGGTCATTTAGCATACCTATAGCCTTTGGCTGGTCACTTAGATATGCTAAATAGCTATGGCCATGCTCAAGGCCAGGGGGATGTAAAGGGATCTCCCCCCCAAGATGTGACTGGGGGCCAGGTCCCCTGAGTTACAGCACCTGCGTGGGAGCTGGGAGAAGATTGGCTCCATGACATGGGGTGACACCTGCCCAGACCCACGATGGCGACCAGAAAAGCTGGACAGCAGATTGAGGGCAAGTGTGCCCAAGTGTAGGAGGAGTCAGAAATGGGGCTGCAGAAGAAGATTGGCGCAGGGGATTTAAACCCAGACACAGCAGCCATTAAGGGGGAACTACGCGGCTTTGGACAGAGTGGGAACTCTCCCTTCCCGCAGCCCTGAGGAGGGGAACCACGTGGGTTTGGCAGAGTGGAGACTCCTGCATCCCAGAGGAGGAGAACCACATGGCCTTGACAGAGTGGAGACTCCCATGGCCCTGGGAGAGAGGACCACGTGCCTGTGCCAGAGTGGGGACCCCCACAGCTTTAGAAGGGGGAACCACCACCTGGTTTTAGCAGAGATCCTGGCGACTCAGCCGAGGGTGCCGGGAACCCAAGGAGGTCTCCCAGTCGAGATGGAGGACTAACTAAGAACCAGAGGACTGCCTGAGCCATGGACTTCTATTTCCTTTCCTGAGATACAGTACTCTGGACTGGGCAAAGGGGGAAGGAAGGAAAGACTGTGTGTTTGTGGGTGTTT